ATATAAATCTTCCTGAAAACACTTCCTTTCTTTTCTAGTGTCTACATCCCTGCTGTGGCCTTCAGTGTTATAGTTTTGCAATTTCCTGCTGGTTTGCTGAGGACACTCCATGTTCTACCTGCTCATACCCATGTATCGAATGCCCTGAGAGGTACTAAATCTGGCCTGTTCTTTGAAGCCAAACAACTTCTGCCCCAGTTGGGATTGAATTGAAAGCCAGTAGGTAATCTGTTCCAACTATATACTGCTCTCTTGTCATTATATTTGAACACTCCATACATGGATAGCTATAGATCAGTAGCTAATCCTTCCTACCTATACACTACCCTCTTGTGACTGCATCTGAGTACTGCATACAGACATACCTTTATCCATTTTTGGGGGCCAGTCCTGAAGGGGGGTCTTTTTTTAGTTTGCCAGTACTTTTAGTTGAATAATAAAAGTTATGTGTGTCAAATTTGATTCAGATCAATCAAGGTCCTTTGTGGTTCAAACAACCAAACACACACACTGGGGGTGTGCATTTTTCATTAGTCCTCATAAGTCATATCAAATTTGTTGAATTTGTACTTACGAGGTGTAGCCTGTGCCAAAAACTTAAGAATCAAAACTTACCCAATACATTTTGTTTGCATTTAGTAAATCTTGGAAGTCTCCCAAAGTCAGTTTTATTTTCAGTGCAAGGAAGGAAAGCAAAGCCAAAGAAGCTGCCTTGCCTCTTTAAATTAATGTCCTCTGGCCAATAGGAGAGAGAAAGCAGGGAACAGAGTTCAAAGTCTAAGAAAGCACAAAACTCTGGGAAATGGTGTTTTGGGTAGGCGAGGAGCCCTGTGGCAGAGAATTCAAAAGACCTTGCCCTAAACTACATTTCCCAGAATTCTGCTCACATCAGAAAGCCCCAATCAGGATAGTATAGAGCTATTTTCCCTTTGCAGTAGCAGTCAGTCAGAGTTCTGATAAATTGTTGAATCTGCAAAAAAGAGGACTAACTGATACTTCTAGTAAGTACATGTCTGTGCTGGGCTGGGAAGAAATCCCTAAATGGATGCCCCTTGGGGTTTCCTTCCAACTCAATAGGGGAAGCATATTAATTAGTTTATAGGCTGGGTGGTCATTTGTCAGGAGAGTTTTGATGGGTGCTTTTCTGCCTGGAAGAAGAGAGTTGGACTGGATGGCCCTTGGCGGTCCCCTCCAACTCTAGGATTCTATGAAAATGTAAAATTGGTTAATATTGGTTTCTGTTCGTTAATATGAGAGACATTCAATGAGATAGCTGTTATGGCTTTTAAAAATAGCTTTTGTCAACACTTTTAAAAATTCCCTAAAATCAGCAGATGTATGGATATTTCTGAAAGTTGGGGGGAATGACCCCCTGTTATCTTGTGTCATTGTATAGAAAATACAAGCAGATAGCTCTTGTAGGTTTTTTAAAAAAATTGTTTATAAAAACTTTGAAAATTTCCCCAAAAATCTGTGGATAAGTGAAACGTTCTGAAACATAATTGGTTAAAAGTGATAAATGTATTCTACCATTGTAGCAAGTTTCACTGTAAAAATGAGGGAGAAAGGAGCCCCTGAAGTTTCCCAAATTATAGTAATTATGCACAATTATTATAATGAAAAAGTAATGAAATGTTGTTGCTCTTGTTATAGTAACGAAAATTTCACTAACTATACCTTACCTTGCCTTAGAAGCACTTTGCAAACGAAATGCCAGCACCCCCTAATTTTGTAATGTCTTTTGAAACATGTTTTTATCAATCATACACACACACATGCACACAAACACATATTTTGACATTTACATCTATAGATGAGAGCTGTTTGAAATGAGAAAGGGAATAGAAATGTGTAGCATATTGTAGGCACTATCAAATTCTGCTCCTACTTGTCAAAAAGTTTTTCTGTGGGCAGAAGCAGAAGGTATAGCCCTCTAACTTCTCATAGCCTGACATGTGCCAAAAAGTTATAAAACCTTCACAGCATTTCAGGGGATGGTGAGGGGAGGAAATCCAAGCATTTTCATCACATTGGAATTTAGGTTTGTCTCTTCAGGTGATCATATGTATTAATCTGGGACATTTTTTTACAAAACACACACACACATACAAATAAAGAATTGAGAAAGAATAGGTCTTTAAAATTATTGCTATATTTAGTAGCTTGTTAACATCACCAACATGCATATTTTCCGTGACTTTAAATTTAATACAAATATTTTAAAATATCAGATCTGAAAATGCTATCCGTTTTAATAGCTGATCTTTACACCAAAATATACACCTTTGGCATAATGTATACTTTTATTGCATTTAGCAAATGATTTTTTCACAATTATAATAAAAATATATTTTACAGTGCAATGTTATAAATGCCCACTTTTGCATAAATCACATTGAATTCAATAGGGTTTACTTCAAAAAAGTGGTTTAGGATTGTAATCTTAGGACCCATTTACACAGGCCACGTTCCCCAAGGTGGGCAAGAAGTTGCTCAGTAGCAATTTCATGATGTGCTTGCATTTTCCTCCCACAATATGGGACAAAGCCACTTAACATAGTTTGTCCCCACTTTAGGTAAAGCCCGAGAATGCTCCAGAGCTTCCTTGAAGGTTTGGTGCAGTTCTGCACTTCGTGGTGAGTGTGAAAAGCTGAGCTCGTTCTGATCCACTGATTAGATGGGTAAGTGCAACCATTTTGCTTTTCCTGCACTCTTTAGCACAGGGAAAATGGATTTGCCTTTGTTGGTTTTTTGTCACCATAGTGGTAGGCATTAAACTCCAGAAAGCTCCTGGCCTTCATGCTGCACCTTCATCAGATGGTCTTTGAGATCCGTTTCCATGTGTTTAGGAAACGGAGCCCCACAGGAACCACACAGAAGTCATCACATGATGTAATGGCACTTCTGGTAGAACTCTGTGGCACTTATTTTCATAAACACATGCGAAGCCTAAAGACCATCTCCAAACTGGAAAAAGTGGGGGAAAGATGGGGAAAGGTGCAGAAAAGATGTGGGATGGCTGGTTGTCCCAGAAGATGGGGAAAGACAGCAGGGTACAGGGTAAGACTGTTCCCTCAACTTTCCCCCGCTTTCCTCCAGCCCGTCTGATGAGGTCCTATGTCAGGAAACGCACTTCCATGATTTGGAGAGTGGGATTGCCTCCTCCCCCTCCCCCTTGAGTTGTGTGGATGCCTTTCCTGACATCAGCAAAAACTATGTTGATGGAAAGCAACAAAAGTAAGGTTGATAGGATACTGAGGACTCCACTCCTGTTGCCTACATGGTTCAGGACCACAGTGGTGTAAACAACATGGCAGAATCTGGGGCCAGTTTGTAGCAGCTGTGCTTCAGATCAGCCACAGATGGTCCCTTAGAGACCCAAATGGTTTCTTAGAGATTTTTCACTGAAATCTGTGCCTTCAAGTCACCAGTTAACTTATGACAATCTATTGAACTTCATAAAGTTTTTGTTGGCAACTAGTAATTAGAACTGGTTTTGCTAGTCCATTCCTCTGAAATATAGTCGAAAGAGCCTCATATTCATTGGTGGTCTCCCACAGAAGTATGAATCAGGGCTGACCCTGTTAAGCTTCCAAGATCAGATGGAATATTGTGCCTTTAGGATATGTGAACCTACTCTCCAGTAAACCCTGTTTAACTCAATGAGAATTATTTACGAGTAGACATGTATCAAGCCACACCGTTGGTTTTGATAAGTTCTTCTGATGACCCACTCCCATTGATATATACTGTTTTGAACAAAGCACGTATATTTTCAATTTGTTCTTCCAGATTTTAGAGGGGAATAAGAAACCTCTTTTTAAAAATTATACTAAATACAGATCAGACTACTTAAACTACATTTATGCTACTTTGTCAAATGCATCATGAAACATAATTATATTCTCAGTCATAATGTTCTTTAAGTAAGGCAAGAATTTTGTTAAGATTTCAAATGGTGTGTTTCTCTTATATGATTAAAGCAGGATAGTCTGACCACCCTTATTGTTTTGATATCACTACATAGAAAGCAATGCCAATACACAACTAAGCATCCTCTAAGGGTGGGATCACAGTGAAGGAAGCTGTGATATAAAATTTATTCTGGCAGTCATACCCCATGATATCACAAGAGAAGAGCTCTGATTATTTTACACGGTGGCTGGATTTGCAAGCATACTTTGAGTGTAAACAGAGTGCTTCAAGAAATGCATTGATTGGCTTGCCCAGCCATTGAAAGGTGGTGGTTACTGTTGTGATTAATATAATTGCAAATGTAAAATGAGCATAAAGTAATAACAACACAAGGCTCTTGTTGTTAAGATAGAAACGCTTATTCAGTTGACCAGTTGTTAAGTTTCAAGTATGAATGAAAGCTTTTTTTTTCTTCGTTTGCTCATGAGCTACGTTGAATTGTACAGTAATGTTACTCCCTCAGAAATTAAGAGCTGTTTTCGAGAGTATGCCTAGTCTATAGAATATGATAAATATTTAGCACTTTAAAAGGCATTGTATCTAAAGTGTTTCACTATACTGTACAACGTTAACTTACAACAACGGAGGTCGAACTATTTACCCAGCTCAACCTAGAGATGACTTTGAACTAATATGGGAAATTGTTGATCAACACAGTAGCTGACTACAAATCTAAAAAGTATATTTTTGGTTTCATGTAATAGCACATTTTCAAACAGAATACTTTTCATAGAAGAGAGTAGAATTTGAAAAGGGGACTTGGATAAACCTCTAGCCAAAATGCCAGGATCTGGAAATGATCATTTTGCATATACCTATGTTTCATATCACTTTTATCCTTATCATCATAAAAGAACACAGACATTTGTGGGAACACATGAATCTGTGGCATATAACTATAAATCTCTGATCCTTCTCCAACAGAGGCCTCCATCTTCATAAATGTAGGCTCTTTTCTGATGCTCTATTGTCCACCGGGGTATTCAGTAGTGAAAAGATAGTAGCAGAGGAATAGTAATGGAATCTAGTGTGAAAACTTCAGTGCTTTATTTACCAAGATTTCATTTTAACAGGCTACAGCCATAGAATCCTATGAAGCTCTCATGAGAACAGAATCTTTTGTGCTACATATCCGCTCTTGAAAAGAGACTTAGGACTTTATCACACAAACCCACAGTTTCACCACAGTCACACTATCATTGATAGCAGATATACACTGGGTTGAACCCTTTTGACATTGCACTTTTCTTCATTCTTGCAATTGCACCAATTCATGGCTTCCAAGATCATACTGCCACTTACCCTTATAACCCCACTTTCCCACATTACTGCTGTGCTGTAATTTTAAAATAATTTTAGAGCAATTCTGCAATTCCAGGTTTGAAAAAAGAAGGCAAATATAGCTATAATATATAAAATAAATATAAATTAGCCATTTTGGGAATAGTAAGGGGGAGAGAAAGAGAATCCCACCCCCAGGCATCATTTTACTGCCAGCATACCAGCACAGAAGCAGAAGGGATCCATCACATCAAGGCAGGTGATGGGAACGTTGTGGGATTGGGGGCTATTGATGGGTTTTATCCTTCAATGGCTAGGATGTGATAATCATGGGAAGGAGGCAGACTAGAAATAGGATGCACATAATGTTGTGCAATAGGGACCATCCCAAATGCAGTGGTTGAATTGCAATGTCGGTTTACCTGCCCTGTGTGATAAAGTCCTCAGTCATTCACTTGTCTAACTATTCTTTATCTGTGAGGCTTGAAATGCATTTCATCTTTAGGGATTTCAGTATGCACCTTCCATTTCTTCACAACACACAAAGCTTGGAAGTTACTTTAAAAGGTAATCAGGTATTATGTTCCAATGCCTCAAAACTAGTTAGAGCCAATTAGCTACACATTTAAAAAAGCAACTCTTTACTTTCTCATTATTCCAAAATAGATCAAACAGTTTTACTCACTTTTAAAAACAAAACATCTTCATGCTACAAACCAAAGGCCTGTAGTACAAAACACACCTGAGTAATGAGGCCACGCTACCCTGTAACTATGATAGCAACAGCAAAACAGGTACAGTTTTATTTGCAAACCATACAATTGTAATACAGCCTAGGTATTGGAAAATACATTTAAGTTAGAGTGACTTGTTATTTGAAACAGGTTACTTTCAGGCTCTGCACATGAACAAATGTGGGGACTATGCATACTTTTGTCCTTTATTGCTTACTCCTCATTAGTGGTTTCCTATTATTTGACACACTTTATAATTGATTATCCAAAATATATTGATCCAGATGCTATCCAATAATTTGAAAATGTTGCCTTGGTTTTACCTGTGTACGTGTTTGTGAGATTTTCTGGTTCATAATACCTATTTTACTTGAGCAAGAACTACTGTGGATGGACAGTTTTGCTTTGCACATTTAGATTAAGGATCAAGAAGATTAGGGTGATGCTTTTATTTAAAAACAACAACCACCAAGCAGCATGTCTCTATTAGTTCCAGTCCATCTCTAATATATCTAAAGGAAAGATTGATAACTATTTGCTTTGTAATTCTAACTATTTGCTTAGTAATTCTAACTAGTCTATAGCGGTAATTTGTTATCTGTTTACGTGGAAGTGATTTCAATGGGACTTCTTTCTAAGAAGACAAGAATAGGGTGGTACTTCAAGATTGGAAATGTGTCAACAAATCACTAAATATTATCCAGCCAATAAAAACATTTTACTCACTGAGGTCAGCAGAAGAGATTGAATGCCAAATCTAACTCTCCCGCTGACATCAGTGGATCTTGGGTAGTTGATTTTGGTTGGATCATGTCCACTGTATATAGTAACTGTAGTGCAATAGGAGGACATTTATTTCAAAATGATTACTTTGGCTCAAAAATCCTATACAGATAACTGCTTCTGAGTGGATTTGTACATTTGAAGATCAAAGTTTCATTGTATAATTTGAACTGTGGGGCTAACAAACAGACATAGCCTTTTAATGTTATACATCAGAGTGTCTATAAATTGTCAGTGACAAGGCTTCTCTTTTCACACTGAGTCGACCTTCACTAAATTGTTGTTTGTGATCAGTGGTGAGGGTTTGCTTTTCATTCTGTCTATTGCATCATTAGAGCTGTCCTGGAAGAAAACTTTTGCTGTACAAATTGTCACAATGATGCGTTTGTATTCTCGTCTGAAATTCTGGTTCAGAAGTCCATAAATGATAGCATTAAGGCAGCTGTTGAAATAAGCCATGTAGTAACTAGCAACAAACAACCACTCCGGAATCCTGGGTGTTATCCTTTCTGGGTCAACAGCCACTGCAAGGCCGATAAAATTCAAAGGTGCCCAGCAGACGGCAAAGAGTACAAAAACCACAAACATGGTTATAAAGTTCCTAAGGTCGTGTGGCTTTAGTTTGGGTTTGTTATCAGGTTTCACTCTTCTCCGGACCTGAATGACGAGGATCCATATTCTCAAGTAGCAAAATGTAACAATGGCTATAGGGAGCAAGAAATGGAAAAATACGACTGCTATTGTGTAGGCGGAGCTCACCGACTGAGAGAAAGTACACGAATAGATCCTGGCATCGTATTGAAGTGATCCAACAAAAAGGTTGGGCACAATGGCAACAAATGTCAAGACCCAAATAAGTATGACATAGAAGAAAGAGTTCTTGTCACTGTACAACTTGTCATACTTGAGACTGTGGCAAATGTAGCAATACCGGTTAATAGCAATTCCAGTGATGTTGAAGATGGATCCAATGACACTTAGGCCCATGAGGAAACCACTGATTTGGCAGTGCATATATCCCAGGTTCCATCCGTTGTGAAAGAGAGATGTCAGGACCAAAGGGTATGGGTAGATGGCCACGACCAAGTCAGCAACAGCTAGACTGACAACAAAGACGTTTCCTGAAAAATAAACAGAAATATTTCAATCAGTTAACGCCAGTACTTATTTCCTTTAACTGAAGCAATATTCCAAGTGAACTCCAACTGGATGGATCTGTCAGTCACTTTTAACCATAACATAAACTCATGCTTTACATATGCAGTAGAAGGCATAAAAATCTAATGCCATCAACTGAAGAATCCCAGGTAAGTTCATATTGGGAAATAGGGGCTTCAGATAGACTGGAACCAAGCCATTATTTAATTGGGATATGATTTTTAAAACAACAATGTCATCTGAGCTGTTGCATGTTTAGATCGGGAACCTCATCACAAAGTGAAATAACCCATTTCTGACACTTTTTGCATACAAATCCCTATGGGTATGGTCGCATGAAACACTGCCCCTTTTGTCTGCAATCCATAGGCACTCATATGTAAAGATTATGCATCCAGTAGTATTTAAAAGATGGGCTGGAAAATGTCTCCACCCATCCTTTTTTTTCCTTCTGTATCCAATATGTATCCAGTTCTCAAAAGCCACAGATTGTCTATGGGAAAGCCATTTCCCATTTTGAGTGTAATGAGGTCCCCAGAAAAGAAGATGGTACCAGAACGGCAAATTTAGAGGGCACCTTGTGTGCCATCTATTCCAATTAAGAAAATCCAGATGCCGGATTGTTTTTATGGTACCCTTCCATGCTCTGAATGACTTACAGCAACATCATAGAAGACAAATACACAATCACAAGTAGCAATTTTCTCAGTTATTTCAGTAACATTTGGAAATAGTTATACAATTTAGTATTTTTAACAGTTCACTATTAATTCACATTACAATTTATTTAAAGAGAAATAACAGCATAGGATAAAATACTTTTCTGGAAGTAACCTCAGTAACAGGGCATTGGTGTTCAGCTACTATTGGAAGGCCCTCTGTTCCTATAAGTAACTTATTCCATTGCTGAGTACCTCTTCTCACCAAGATGTTTATTCTACTGTTCAACTGAATTCTACTTTTCTGTGAGTCAGACCTATTAGGACTAATCTTGTGGTGAGGAAAAGCAAGAAACAATTCTTAAATGTAATGTGACAATAGCAGAATGAAAGACTGCTAGAGCATTTAAGCTGGATTTCTTCAGAGTGCGACTCTAATGTAAGAGACTAAATACACATACAGCTGTGCAACAGAAAACTTCAGGCACTACTCCCTTGTGCTAACTCCAGAAAATAATTCCAGCAATGCAACAGACCATCTGCTAGTACAATGAGTCAGAATTCAGACCCAAGACATGTTATTTAAATCCTTGTGCTGGTCAGTGATCATAATAAAGTTTTGTATTGTATTGTTATATACTCCAGCAAAGGATCACTGCCTTGTCGGGGCGCTGGAGCTTGAGCACCTCAATGATGTCATGAGCGAAACCGTGAAGGGCCACCCAAGACGGGACGGTGTGGCAGAGAGGTCAGACCAAGCGGGATCCCTGGGGAAGGCAATGGCAAACCACTCCAGTATCCTTGCCAAGAAAACTAAATGGACCAGTACAACCAGAGATATGTCGGTATGCCATTGGAAGATGGGACTCCCAGGTCGGAAGATGGCCAAAATGCTACTGGGGAGGAGCAGAGGATAAGTTCAACTAGCCCCAGATGTCATGACGCAGCTAGCTCAAAGCCGAAAGGAAGGCTAGCGGCCGACGGTACTGGAGGTGAACGACGAATCCGATGCTCTAAAGATCAACACACCATAGGAACCTGGAATGTAAGATCTATGAGCCAGGGCAAATTGGATGTTGTTATTGGTGAGATGTCAAGACTAAAGATAGACATTCTGGGGGTCAGCGAACTGAAATGGACTGGAATGGGCCACTTCACATCAGATGACCACCAGATCTACTACTGCGGACAAGAGGAACATCGAAGAAATGGAGTAGCCTTCATAATTAATAAGAAATTCGCTAAAGCAGTGCTTGGATACAACCCAAAAATGACAGAATGATCTCAATTCGAGTGCAAGGAAAGCCTTTCAACATTACAGTGATCCAAATATACGCCCCAACCACAGCTGCTGAAGAAGCAGAAGTAGATCAGTTCTATGAGGATCTGCAGGAACTACTGGATAATACACCCAAAAGAGACATTATTTTCATTACAGGAGACTGGAATGCCAAGGTGGGAAGTCAAATGACAACTGGGATCACAGGCAAGCATGGTCTGGGAGAAGAAAATGAAGCGGGACGCAGGCTGATAGAATTTTGCCAGGAAAACTCGCTGTGTATAACGAATACTCTCTTCCAACAACCTAAAAGACGGCTTTACACATGGACCTCACCAGACGGTCAACACCGAAATCAGATTGACTACATCCTTTGCAGCCAAAGGTGGCGGACATCCATCCAGTCGGTGAAAACAAGACCTGGGGCTGACTGTAGCTCAGATCACGAACTTCTTATTGCGCAATTTAGAATAAAACTAAAGAGATCAGGGAAAATACACAGACCAGTTAGATATGATCTCACTAACATTCCTAGCGAATATACAGTGGAAGTGAAGAACAGATTTGAAGGACTAGATTTAGTAAACAGAGTCCCAGAAGAACTATGGACAGAAGTCCGCGACATTGTTCAGGAGGCGGCAACAAAGTACGTTCCAAAGAAAAAGAAAACCAAGAAGGCAAAATGGTTGTCTGCTGAGACACTGGAAGTAGCCCAAGAAAGGAGGAAGGCAAAAGGAAACAGGGATAAGGGGAGATATGCCCAGTTAAATGCGCAATTCCAGAGGTTAGCCAGAAGAGATAAGGAACTATTTTTAAATAAGCAATGCATGGAAGTGGAAGAAGACAACAGAATAGGAAGGACAAGAGACCTCTTCCAGAAAATTAGAAACATTGGAGGTAAATTTCAGGCAAAATTGGTATGATAAGAAACAAAGATGGCAGGGACCTAACAGAAGCTGAAGAGATCAAGAGAAGGTGGCGAGACTATACAGAAGATCTGTATAGGAAGGATAATAATATTGAGGATAGTTATGACGGTGTGGTGAATGAATTAGAACCAGACATCCTGAGGAGTGAGGTTGAATGGGCCTTAAGAAGCATTGCTAACAACAAGGCAGCAGGAGACGACGGGATCCCAGCTGAACTGTTTAAAATCTTAAAAGATGATGCTGTCAAGGTGATGCATGCCATATGCCAGCAAATATGGAAAACACAAGAATGGCCATCAGACTGGAAAAAATCAACTTATATCCCCATACCAAAAAAGGGAAATGCGAAAGACTGCTCAAACTTCCGTACAGTGGCCCTTATTTCTCATGCCAGTAAGGTAATGCTCAAGATCCTGCAATGAAGACTCCAGCAATACATGGAGCGAGAGTTGCCAGATGTTCAAGCTGGGTTTAGAAAAGGCAGAGGAACGAGAGACCAGATTGCCAATATCCGCTGGATAATGGAGAAAGGCAGGGAGTTTCAGAAAAACATCTACTTCTGCTTCATTGGCTATTCTAAAGCCTTTGACTGTGTGGATCATAATAAATTGTGGCAAGTTCTTGGTGGGATGGGCATACCAAGCCACCTTGTCCCTCTCCTGAGGAATCTGTACAAGGACCAAGTAGCAACAGTCAGAACTGACCACGGAACAACAGACTGGTTCAAGATTGGGAAAGGCGTACGGCAAGGCTGCATACTCTCACCCAACCTTTTTAACTTGTATGCAGAACACATCATGCAATGTGCGGGGCTTGATGAATGCAAAGCTGGGGTGAAAATTGCTGGAAAAAACATTAACAACCTCAGATATGCAGATGACACCACTCTGATGGCCGAAAGCGAGGAGGAGCTGAGGAGCCTTCTAATCAAGGTGAAAGAAGAAAGCGCAAAAGCTGGGTTGCAGTTAAACATCAAAAAATCCAAGATTATGGCAACAAGAATGATTGACAACTGGAAAATAGAGAGGAGAAACCGTGGAGGCCGTGACAGACTTTGTATTTCTAGGGGCAAAGATTACTGCAGATGCAGACTGTAGCCAGGAAATCAGAAGATGCTTACTTCTTGGGAGGAGAGCAATGTCCAGTCTCGATAAAATAGTGAAGAGTAGAGACATCAGACTGACAACAAAGATCCGCCTAGTCAAAGCCATGGTATTCCCTGTAGTCACCTACGGATGTGAGAGCTGGACCTTAGGGAAGGCTGAGCGAAGGAAGATCGATGCTTTGAGCTGTGGTGTTGGAGGAAAGTGCTGAGAGTGCCTTGGACTGCGAGAAGATCCAACCAGTCCATCCTCCAGGAAATAAAGCCCGACTGCTCACTGGAGGGAAAGATACTAGAGACAAAGTTGAAGTACTTTGGCCACATCATGAGGAGACATGAAAGCCTAGAGAAGACAATTATGCTGGGGAAAGTGGAAGGCAAAAGGAAGAGGGGCCGACCAAGGGCAAGATGGATGGATGGCATCCTTGAAGTGACTGGACTCACCTTGAGGGAGCTGGGGGTGGTAACGGCCGACAGGGAGCTCTGGCGTGGGCTGGTCCATGAGGTCACGAAGAGTCGGAGACGACTGAACGAATGAACAACAACATTGTTATTCAAAGAATAGTCCTCTAGGCCAAATAGATATAATTTCTTTAGTCTTTCTTTGTAGGACCTGCTTTCATATCATAACTCCACAGAAGAATATATAAGCATGGGAAAATTATAACAACAAGCAGGTTTACACTGACCACACAACCTGAAGTGGCTCAGAAGTTGCTCCTTGCTGTCTTCAAGATGTCGAAGGACTTTTGGTCCTGAACACGAGGTAAACCAAGTTGAACCAGTTTAGCCCCATGCTAAGGAAAGTCAGAGGATGGGCACAGTGTGGGTGGCAGACTGGCTCTGATACGAACCGGTCCACTGCCCGCACAGACCAGTGCCCCCATCTCCTCTTCCCCGCATTCATCAGCACAGGGAAAAGGTGATGGATCAGACTCATCACCACTGCACATTACAGTGAACCTTATACAATCACTAAGCTCGACTCTGATAC